ACTACAAAGTGTGGATCCCAACGTTGACACCCACAAACGCAAAGTATCGCAAGTTTGCGCTATGCAGTGCAGCAACACGAAGCGTTGGAGGCTCAGATGCACGTATGACCCACGGCCACATGCCACGGGCATTCGCAAGAACACCGCCTTCAAGTATGAGACGAAGGCGGAAGCGCTCGGAGACGCGGACAACTGGACAAGTGAGCTGGAGAAGCCCATGCGAAGGCGGAGCTTGTCGCCCAAGCACGGTGAGTCTACGATTGCTGAGCGGATCTTGCTGCACGTAGCTACTGCTGTACAGCAGTACTGCTGGACAACCGCAGCAGCAGCAAATCGGCAGGGTGTGTGCTCCGTGGTGGGTTGAAACATGCAGCAAAGTCGCAACCAGGCGGGCGCGTCGCTAGCATGNAGCAGCAAAGCGGCAGGGTGTGTACTCCGTGGTGGGTTGAAACATGCAGCAATGTAGCAACCAGGCGGGCGCGTTGCTAGCATGGGGGTGACATGTGCAACAACACTAGCCGGCGTTCATGCGCATGGTTGGAGCGTGTTTTCCATGACAAGTGTAGCTGTGTGAAAAAACGGCAAGTTGCAGTACAACAGCATCCATATGTATGTACTGGAGAACCTTGACACGAATCCCGTTGTTTGCATCGGACAATCTTGAACAGTAGACGAGTTGTACAGCATGCAGCAGTGCAGTACTACTTGTATTGATACAAAATAGTATAGTGTATTGTACAACCCACCTCTAATATGTACTTCTAATAGAACACAGCAGTGCTCAGCAGCACGCAAGTGTACATACAAGTACAAAGTGGTTATACACGCCAGATCCGAACTTGTGTTTACAAACTGCCTCTATTTTTTAGAACGCACCAGGTTATACAGCAGCAGCACGCAATTGTACAAGAAAACATTGTGTACAAGTCAGGCCCGAACTTGTATACATGCAACCCGTCTCAAAAACAAGGTGCCCAACTCTTACAAGTCGCGTCCAGCAGCAACCGACACAAGGGCATACCGCACCCACAGATAAACACAGACACCAACATTGGCTTAGAGGGGCTGCCGTATTGCACGACGGGAGGCTGTGTGTTTTGCAGAGTACAAGGATTGACATTCACGGGTTATTCTTCAATTTGAGTAACGGTCCTCTAGCAGGCGCTCTTTGTGTTTTTCTACCAAGACACGGTCCTTGTATCCAAGCTCTATCGTACAGTTTAATTAACAGCCATACTATCGCCGTATGTTCCGGTCTGTCCTCCGTTAAAGTTACCCCCCACCGGTGTTCAGGCACGACGCCGAACTGCGAAGTCGCCAAGAAGTGTGCCATCCAAAAACAAGCGGAACGCGCCAGGGCTTTGAGGGGGTTGCAGCAGGAGGCCAGAATCCTGATGCGCCTACGCTGCAGCAGGTTGCGTAACGCCGGACTCGGGCGCCGGGCGTTTGCGTACGTCAGGCGCGATCGCAATTCAGAACAGCGGAGGAGATACATGGAGCGGCGGATTGCAGAGTGCGACCAGGAGGACGCTGCAATGGACGCACAGGCCGTGGCTATGTTCTCCCCGCTAACGAAGGGGCAACACGTCACGCTGGTGGAGCCTCACGAGCAGCCACCCCCGGTGACTGATNTTTGCGGTCTCGGTGCATGAATCAACAGTGTTTTATCACCCAGTTAAGCTGGCACAAGGCCGCGCTGCGATGATAAAAAATCTCTCGTCGGGGCAGCACGGTCGGTGTTTCCGTCTAATAAGTACATGTAGGTAGATTCTTGCAGACCCCACCATGCCGGTAACATGGCTGTTTGTGATTCTTTCTCTAACCAACGACACCGTCAACGACACCATTACAGTGCAATGAAGCTTCGCATGGAGTTTCGTCGACATCGCCCATTAACTGGCCTAACACGGTCGAAAAATGGTCGATTTATGACTTGCCGTCGGTGGGCCAAACTGCGTTGGAGATAGCCTCTTTTGCGGGACCCCAAAAATCTGTCCCAATGTGTGATTTTTCACTTTCTTGATTCCAACTTACCTATATATTCCAAAGACCTTGTCTATGAATTTTCATGAACTAATTCGATAAACTGATGAAATGGGGTCGTTTGGGCGTCAAAAGAACCTGAATTTCGCCGTTTTATACTTTAATCAAGTAGTTTGGGGAAATCCAGAATGCGAAATACTTCATGGCACAGGAGCTGAAAACTTCACGCCGTTGCTTTGAGTTAGACTCTGAAACTTTGCACACATATGCCTTGGGTCAATACGAAACGCTGTGCGGCGGGGCCTTTTTCATTTCCTTCCATGGTCGCCGG